CAAAGAGACACGCAAAGCCGATCATTTGACCAATTATCTACTAAATAATTGTGGTATCTCTCTTTCTGCCTTGGGCTATCCACCAATCCTATATTCTCGTATCAGCCCTTCACTATCACAATTTTTCAATTCCTTATGTAAATGTTGTTAGTTGTGCCCCTTCGAGAGAATTTATGAGAACTCTTTACACCCCACGCTGGTCTTCTCACTTCCATTTACCCTTGTGCTTTAAATATTGATCAGAATCTGCCATATTATCCACAATCGTCTTCCCATAGGTCTTATAAGTCTCCTTACCACTTAGGATCTACCTCCTACCTTCCGGGTTCAGGTATTTCACTCGACCTCTACCGCCATATCTGTACTACTCGAAGTGTTATTTCCCACATTTTCTCAAGCCTTTGATGGCATGCATACTCCCGCCTCGCTGAGTAGACCTCTAAAAATCAGTATTTTTACGCTGGATGGGAGACTAACTCGGGGCTAAAGATCAAGTACTTCTCATGATCAAGCCTTTGCTTTATGGACCACGTCTATGATCAAACACGTCTACTGTTAGCCAACTAGCTCTAGTCTCCACCCCATCTATTGTGCTTCTATCCATAGCGCCAAGTCTATTACTTCCTATACCCTAGCCTTGTGTACCAACCCACAAATGTTATGATTCTACTTGTTTGATTATGATCAATGTAGAACCACAGCATTTGTGAGTTGACAGACAAGAGACTAGGGCATAGGAAGTTATAGACTTGGTAGTATGTATAGAAGCACGATAGATGCGGCGGAGACCATAGCTAGTTGGTTAAGGGTAGACGTGTTTGATCATAGACGTGGTCCATGAAGCAAAGACTTGACCATGAGAATTAGTTGAGATCTTTAGCCTCAAGTTAATCTCCCATACAGCTTAAGAATCATAATTTTTAGAAGCCTATTCATTGAGGTGAAAGTATGTGTGCCATCAAAGGCTTGGTACAGTAGGAAATAACGCTTCGAGTAGGGGTAGAGGTCGAGTGAAATAGCTGAGCCCAGAAGGTATGAGTGGGATCCTACGGGGTAAGAAGGAAACTTATAAGACCTATGAGAAGAGGATTGCAGAATAATATGGCAGACTCTGATCCACATTCCTAGCACAATGGTGAAGGGGTTGAAATGGTGAGAAAGTCAGCTTAATTTTATTTCTACTTTATTTTGAATTAGTATTCACATTTCATTCCCTCGATGTCTTATCTCTAGTACTGGCTAAGTTTAATATATAAACACCTGCACAAGCTTTATTAGTGAGAACATTAATAGGTAAAATAGATCTCATCTACTCTTCATACCAGTGCCTTGGTTAAGCTGGAATTTTGCGATTAATCAAATGCCAACAGATAATAATAACAGTTAGTTGCATTTACCTATTTGTTTTAGGGTTGGTGGGTTTATTTAACGGCTATCACATGCATATGCAATGCTTTATTCACGGTTAAGATAATATAACAGCTACTGTAAACGCCTGATTCAATCCTCGAGTATTATGTCAATACTCCTAAAACTATTTCTCTGATGGATTAATATGAATCAATTGAGGATCAGAGTGGCTTTTCTATAGGGTGCATCTCTATTACCGATATTCTGATGCTGAGATATCACATGCAATTCTTATTCGATTCAAAATATTCAAGGAGCCTTATGGATCTCTCTCTCTTGTATATGCATAGAGCTGGGTCTCCCTGCTAGCAGTCTATTTGAAAAATGCGGATAGGAGAATTGGTCATTTTTGTCCTGCTAAATAAATTAAATTTATTATATACATGAGATGTATTCATCCTGTTTCAATTATGGTTATAAGGGTCTGACAGCTGAATTGTCCAACATTTATATGAGTAGACGTGACGTTTCCATTTAATTTAACAAAGCCTTGCTTCCCAAAAGTTATTCTTATCCAGGGTGGACTGCAGTTTTGATCTCGCATTGATCTTATTAACACCCTCCAGTGGGACTCAAATAACGGCAGTACTGTGTATAATCTCGACACGTTAACAACTTTGCTACATTGCCACAAATGCCCTTAGGCCACAGGGCAGATTTACCATACACTTATAAATTTTGATTTACTTGATCGACGAGTTTAAATAAAACTGAAATTCGGTCACTGTGCATATTTTATTGTTTTTGCCTTAATTTATCCCTGATCTTCTTCAGCCAAATATATGATAAATTATGAGTCAGAGCTTGTTTCTGGTTTAGTTTATCTAACATTGAAGTCCTTAGCAAAACCCTCTCCGATCTGGGCTTTTAGTTTGACTAATTGCAATTGCATCTTAATATTGAAGACTATATAAGTGATCCTGATTTTCATCCAAATGATATTATATCTACAAGATAAGAATGAAAATTTCATTAACACTTTTAAATGCAAATGTTTTATTTTTCAGGCAAATGGTATCTTGCTTTACAACCTTTCCGCATGTTTGGCTACTCGGGGTGACTTGGAGCTGGCTGAATCTTTTCTGGATGCCAGTAAATCTGGTCTCACTCATCTAGGCATAGCCTGTTGCGCAAAGGCCGAATATGAGGAATCTAAGTCAGAGAATAATTTAAGTGGTGCAGAGAAAAATAAAGGTGAGCAGAGCGAGACTCGAATACTTCAGCAACAAGGTCATCCATCAATTCTGTCTATTCGAAATGCTGCCTCCCTCTTACTTCCTCGTCTGCCCGATTTATTTTATTCCCCGAGCTCGACTCGTCCCAACCTACATACACCAGATTCCACATCCAATCTAGGACCGAAGGATGATTTCTCGCTCTCGTGCCCAGTTGGATCTGATTCCCAAGTGACGGGTACAGAAGTCATTGCAACAATGGGATTTGACCCTGCTTTACGAACCCCAGGAAATGCAGATTTCGACTTCGAGTTGCCATTGCCTAGACCTGCAGTTTCATTGCGTCTTTATTTGATCTCCAAGAAGGCAGCGGCTATCTCAAACCAGGCCGCTAAGATGGGATCAGTGCATCCTCGCAGCCCCCTATCCGGTGTTTGTGACGAAACCTCGATCAGCAGTATAGCCTGGCTCCGTCAGACTTATGGGCATGTGTTACAGGCACGTCGGCTATATCCAGCCTTGTTGAGACCTCAAGAGATTGGCCTTAATGAATCAATTAGTCAGTCAACATCTGTACTTCCTCATAAAAGGCATTTGCAGACGCAACAACGTCAGCCAATGAGCTTAGCTGTGACGGCCCAGCGTCGACTGCGACAACAATTGATGATGCAATAATAATGTATCTCTCGACTTTTGCCGTCTCTTAATGTTGTTTAGTTGATCACAATTATCACTTATTCATCGTTCTTGGAAATGTATCATGTTACTGTCCTATCAAAAGCACCATCGAATGGAGTTAGTGCATTTGTGAGCAATGCTATCAATCAAACCGATGGCGGTCGAATTAAAGTGGGCTTGACACGACTTATTTCAATATAGGAATTATATCGAAAGCCTAGCTATCGAGAAATGCAGCAAAATGTACCAACAAATCTCTATCTACTAGACTCCTCAACCTTACCTCTAGAATTTTGATTTTGATTGCAAATTTGGATCAATTCTAAAGTTTGTCATCCATCACAAAAGAGGTATTTGTTTTCTCTACTTCGTTAAAGCAAAATTTATACCCTTGAACTCCATAATGTACTTCAGCTTAGCTCCAATCTAGCAAACGCCGTATCTCCTTTTTATCTGGTTATCACGCTTTGCAACAGTTGGCGCAGTCACTCATTCTTATCTTTCTAACTTACATACACTTCCTAGTTATTTTTATCCATCCCGCCATCTTGTAAATCCATTTTCGACCAAATTTTGTTAGCTGGAATTTGTGATTATGCATACTATTAGACTCTGCAAGTTCGATTGACTTGTTCAATATACCTTAAGGATATTCCATTTTAGCTCAGGCCCGTAACTATTTTACTGCTAATGAGAATATCTCTTTCTCTGTGATCTCGGGAATAATTCATTATTCGATTCATGAGTTGCTCAATACGCGAAGTTTTATTGCGGGTCTTTTGTATCTCGCCAGAAATTATTGTACATATGGTAGACTAAGGACCTATTCTAGTGGTTATCGATCCGCATGCATCTTGTCTACGGAATAGGCAATCTGCTGCCAGTTTCTTTCGTTTTTTTCTTTTATACTGTTGGAAATGTCTTTCTAATAATTGCCATTTAGAGCATCTTTTCTCTTTTGTGTTCATACTCTCGATTTCTTCATACATGTTTGTACATATATTGTCTAATTTTGAGTGATTCCTAAATATTCCAATTTTTTTGTTTTTTTACTTCATTTACCTTTGACCTGCATTACTCTAAGTCTGATCCTAAATAGCACATACGAACGCTCATCCAAATAACCGTAAAAATGTGGTATTTTACTCGGCCTCTACATTTGTGTGAGCATTAGGCCTTTTTATGATATTGCCTCGTAATGGCAAGTGAATACAATAGGTTAGTGATCATTGGTTTAATATATATGCTAATTTACCATTACCGGATCCATGGCGCATGTACCACTATAAGTAAATGGGTGACACTAAAAGTTACTATTTAGACAAAGATGTAAGGGTACCTTGTTTTAACACTAATTAATTTAAATCAACGACGGATGGCCTTGATCGTAGAATCGATAAATATTCTAATCTTTTCGCAATATTTCAAGCGTAATTTTCCAGCCCCCTGCTTGGATGTTGATGGACAAGTTCCAATAAAGTCGATTTCGTGCCCTAGAGTAAGGAGCAAGTATACTAATTTGCTTTCTCAACTTGGTCAGAGCGACGAAAGGATTTGTGGAACGTGCTGGTTCTCAGTCCTCTGAGATTGTATTCGTGATTTCCAGTATCATATCACTGACTTGGTATATTCCCAAGTCGCCTGTCACTTTGGTTAGTTGTAACTGATGAAGATGGCGCCTCTTACTGACCATGTCGGCGAAACATCTGGGAATATGTTAAAACTATGGTCCGATGCTGGAAATCATAAATCCTATGGCAAAGAATGCAGGATTAGACACATTCCACAAATTTTCCCTGTCACTCCGACCAAATTGCAAAAGCGAGTACAAATCGACACTATACAGTTAAAGGAGATCGCGACCAAACAGAAGGCCATATCATCTTAATCTACGATCTAACTTATCTATCACATTGTTTTCCTTTGTCTATGAAATACTTCGCTTTGACAAAATTTCATATGAACCAAAGACGTTTGGGGACTTACTTTGTTAGGTTTGAGTCTCCAATCCCTGTTTTTTCGTTCATTATTATCCAAATAATTGCATGCATATGCATTCCTTTAATGTGCATAGTACTTTGGCTATATAAAGGTTTCCTTCATCAACTAACAGATCAGGGAAGTTGTTCCATCTTATTTTCGAAATTTGGTCGTATCCTCAGGACGACCTAGAGGAACGCACTCTGTCCACAGTCCATATTATGCAGAATTTCCAGAGTCAGACCGTGGACTTGGTACATTCTCAGACGGTTTTCCAGCATCGTAATCTGCATCATCAGGAAGACTTATCGTTCTTGGCACCGCACTACATCTCGTCAACGATAAAAATGAAATCGATCCTTTGACCAATTATCTGCTAAACAATTATATTAGTTCCCGTCCTGGTGTATTCACCTATCCTATATCCTCGTCAAACCCCTTCACTATCATAATTCCTTAATTGTTTATCTAAACCTAGTTTAAGCTTGCTCATTTTAACAGATTTAGTAGGACCTATTCAAACTCGCCTCTGTTTCTCTTATCCTACCCCCATCTCCAAAAAGTATTTTCATCCAGGATGCAAGGATTGCAGTTTCGACCTCACCTAGCTCTCGTCAGCAGGACTCGAACCGTGATTGCAGCGTACGATCTTGTCACGTTCACCATTACACCACATTGCTACGGAAGATTGCGACCATAATATAAAGCTACATCATCTTGGTCTTCATACTTTCGATTAACATAATATGGCTTATATTTTAAGATCAGCATGTTCTTGG